AACTCGGATCCGATCGCCTCGATAGAGAGTCAACTCATCAGAACGCTGCCCAGCGTAATCGAAAAGGGCCACAACAATTTGCCCTGTTGGCTCCTCAGTCGACAGCCTCTCAAACGTTCTACTTGGAGGTTTAAGACTTGCACCGTGCTCGTTCTGAGCTAAGACTGTCGAGCCCGAGTCGAGGCCCTCAAGCCTCTCAAAACCGATCGGGCAGATTGCTCCATCCGCCTGACCACGCACTGGGCGCACCTTTTTGCTGGGAGCAGACACCGAGAGCTCCTTGGGAATGAAGGTGAAGGTAGCTCTGCCGAGCTCTTGCTGAATAAAAGTAAGAGCGGACCAGTAGCAATGTCAATGAAATAAATAAATTATTATGGCTAGAATTAGGGAGTAAATAAAGAATGGTGGAAGTACAGGATAGTTGACCATGAGAGTTAGGCATAAAAAAGTGATAAAACGCAAGCTTTAAGTAGAGACGTCGCTAATAGAAAGCTCTTTTGCCAGAGCTTCTAACTTGTCTAGATGTGATGTATTTGTTGGTCGAAGAGGATAATTTTTAGAGCTGACATGGCTGAATAATAAGCACTATCGGGAATGATAACACGGAGTAGATGCTTGAAATATTTCATAATTATCAAATATTTTGGATCGACAGAAAATATCCTTTGGCAAGCAAAGAAGTGATAATGCCCATTTTGAGTTAAAAGCTTCAATGCAAACATGTTTTCCTTTCAATAGTTTCTAAACGCCAGTCCCACAGGTAATGCATAAAATTTACACTTGATTGAATGCGATATAATGGTTACGTATTTTACTGTCTATCCAATTATGACTCACAAAAAATGATATATACATATTTAGATAAAAGAGTGCGTTAAATCCATATATTTTCGAAACATGTCTCAAGCTGGTCAAATCCACTAGATGTTTTATTATTTTCAACACATAAATGTTAGCAAATTTTGCATTAGTAGCTCTGACCAACCGTCCCTGAAGGTTTAAAGAGGCCATAAGATACTTTGATCTGGTATAGACTAAAAACTAATTTTTAGTTACATTACTTACTGTGCTTGTAACCCCAAATCTGCTATTAGAAGTTAGTGATAAAACTTGCTCTTCTCATTCCTGTAAATCTTCCAAATTATCCCTCACGTTCTGTTGATAACGAATAACTATATTTTTACAAGTTCCTTGTAGCTTAGACACATTCTAATTTCTCTTTTATACAAGCTTAAATTT